CATTCTTTCAGTATATATAATATAAAATACAACGTAAAGGATTCGATCTCGTTGTATAATTTTTGAATGACATCTCAACAATCCAAACCAACTCCATTTCTCAATGCAAATGGATGGTCAAGATTATTTCATAGGTAAATATAAACCTTGAATATTTAATTTATTTTATATAATAAAAATACTTTTAGTTGGATACCACAGTTACTTGATAAATCTCACAAACAGAAAACGCTCAATTTAGATGATCTATATGATCTCCTTCCTCAATATAAATCAGTCGCACTTACGGAAAAATTAAAAAATAATTGGATAGATGATATAAATAGTCATCCAAATAAACCAAGTCTTCTTCGTGCTACAGTTCGTACAACGGGTTGGAAACCATTCTTAATAGGATGTTTACTTCTTCCTGAAGTGAGAATATCTAATTAATTCATTAAAATTATTATTTTATTTAATAAATTTTTTTGAAGAGAATAGCTTCTGTTATTAAACCATTGTTAATTATATTTTTAATGGATTTTTTTGAACCATGTTCCACTATGTCGATTAAATTTGCATGGTTTTTAGCTATTCTCTGTGTGTTAATTACTCTATTTTCAAGTTTTTTTCATCATAGAGTGAGTATAAAGTTGTATTTATGTTCTAATATTGAATTATACTTTACAGTTTTATTATTCAATTCAAGTATATGGGATGCAAATGCGTGTTGCTTATCATGGTTTAATCTATCAGAAAGTAAGAATAAATATTTCACTATACAAACATATATAATCATTGAACACGTATCTGTAGATTCTTTCCTTATCAAGTCATTCTTTGAATAAATTCAGTTCAGGTGAAATTACTAATTTATTTTCTAATGATGCTGATCAAATTGACAGAGCAATAAATAATATAAATCATTTATGGGTAAAAGGCATGAAGATGTTCTATTATAATTCTATTATTTTCTTTTTAAGCTAGCTCCAATTGATATTATTGCTATGATTATATGTTTCTGGTATTTTATTAAATATGTCACGTTCGTTGCTATTGGTTATACACTAGTACTTGTTTTAGTCGTTTCTCTTGTTGGTCGTATTTTAGTACGTTTTCGGTAAATTAATTTATTTGATAAATTATATATATACATAGATTGATTTCTTGAATTTTAAGTACTAAAATTTTAGAACAAACGGATCAACGAGTGAAAATCATGTCGGAAATAATTAAATCGATGCGTATTGTAAAAATGTATTGCTGGGAATCAGCATTTGAAAAAAAAATTTCTCTCGTAAGAAAGTAAGTTTTATTTTGTTCTGTGAGTATATTAGAATGGTTAGAAATTATTTTTTATTAATAGACATGAGATTATTCGATATGGTCTTACTGTTATTCTTGATTCTATTCATTTACTTTTCTCACATTCATATGTTTGTATGACATTTATGATTATGTATGGCACAATGTGGTCACTTGGAATACACTTTGATACACGATTCTTTACTATTGCATCATGTATGCTCATGCACTTAGCAAATGCACTTCTGAGTATTGGTTATGCTATACGTCATTTGGCGAACTATTTACCAGCTGCAAAACGAATTCAAGTTTGGTTTTGATATTATCAGGAGCTATACTGTTGACTTGAAAAGAATTTCTTCTATAGGTATTTCTTTTGTTTGAAGAATCTCAGAGAGATAGTCGATTAGAATCTACGTCAAATGAATCTAGTTCAGATATACATTTATCAACATACAAAACAGATGTACCTCCAAAATTGACAAAGAATATTTGTAAAGTGGAATGTAATGTAAAGCATGCACAATGGGAACAAGTAAATACA